CCTACCTACGAAGGCTGCCACATCTGCCCAGATGTGCTGGCCGGACTCCACAGAGGCCTCAGACTTAGGCACTGACCATTAAGTGGCCACAGCTCCTGCTTGGAATGGTGGAGGAGCTCCCATGCTGACAGAGGTGCAAGAGTGTGAGGACCAGTAGTTCTCATTTCAAGAATAAAGCCACAGCTCTCCAGAAACCCTTTGGAACCAGCAGGACATAAAATATTCACATCTGTCAAAGAGGTGACGTCTAGGCTGGTTCAATAACACCATCAAGAGTGTTAACTCAGTGTATGGGTGAGTTTCCTTCACAGGCTTCTCTGATTGGGCAGACCACATCTAAAGCACCAGCATCAGTGCATCCAGAGGCAGAGAATTGGGCTGGGGAGACCAAGGCATGGTGAGAAGTGAAGCTGGAAGAACTTTTTGTAAATATAAGCACTTTCTAACAAGCACTGGAAGGCTGCATTGTGGATGTCCTCCCCATTACTCTAGCAACTCAAAAAGATGACTGGCCATCATGCATGAGGTAGAAAAGCTTTCCAAATTTACTAGCTCTTTCTTTGGGTTGAGACAATTCCAGTAGAGCAGACCCCACCTTCTTACCTCAACCCTTAGGAACTCATCCCAGCTACCTCATCAGTTGAGAGGCAATACTCACTCACTCTGAATGGTTAGAAGACAGGTTTGGGGTTCAGACAAACCTACCTGGGTTCAAATCCCAGCTTTACCACACATCAGCTGTGTGGCTTGGGACAAATTGGTTTACTTATTTGGGGCAGAAGCAGGTCCAGCAGGACACTCGCAGTGACTTCTAGCTCCACCACGACTTGCACCGTATTTACCTGCTCTCAGGCTAAAGACAGACACTTGGCAGGGCTGAGTAAACCCAAGTCTTCTCTGGTTAAAAGATTCCACATTTTTCTTTTTCCCCTTCAGGCAAGAATACCAGCTGGGAAAGGCATTCCTACATAGCAACCAATGAGAATACTCATTGCTACCATTCTCAAGGCATTCTGCAGTCCACAGAGGCTGGTCTACTTGACAAAGCTTCCAAGGTCTTGCAGCTTCATGTTTCCTTGGCCACCAGCTTGGTTTTTGGATGACCTCCCCCACCATCTCTACTCCAAAGCTTTCCAGAAGCCTCTTGCCCAAGTGCTTTACTGGGCTGGTTCCTCTACTGCATAGCAGGCCCAGGCACAAGCCCTTCTCAGCGCCTAGATTTCACAACCTGATACAACACTTCTCGGACTCCTTCCTCCAAAAGAAAATAAAAAAACCACGAGCTTGTGTGTACTATTATTTTTATATGGACTATAGCACAGTCATCCCCCAAACAGTCCAAATCCTAGGTTGGCTGACCCCAAAAATTGGATTGGCCAGGCAATTTTAAGATGTTGAGCCACAAGCTAACCAACCTGCATGATTCCTTAGCCACGAGGCCTCTAAAAGCCAAGTAGTCTACCACCACTCCTTTCCCAGCTTCCAGTAGCTTACAGTCTTTCTTCTGGTCTGTACTAGGTGCCAAAAAGGAGTACCAAGAACGTCTGGCCAACATAGTCTCTGCCCCCTAGGAACTCATCACCTACTTAGGAAGACAAAAATATGCATAAGGCAAAAAAAAAAAAAGGCACAATCAGGTGCTTAAAAAAATACCTGCTATATGGGGCTGGCCCGGTGGCGTGGTGGTTGAGTTTGTGCGCTCCGCTTCTGGCAGCCTGGGGCTCACAGGTTCAGATATCGGGTGTGGACCTGCGCACCGCTCATCAAGCCACGCCTGTGGCAGGTGTCCCACATAAAGTACAGGAAAATGGGCACGGATGTTAGCCCAGGCCCAATCTTCCTCAGCCAAAAGAGGAGGATTGGCAACAGGTGTTAGCTCAGGGCTAATCTTCCTCACACACAAAAAACTACCTGCTATAAGTGGAAATCAGTTTGAGCTCACAAGCTGAGATGAACTAATAGAGAAGTCAGGCCCTTGAGCATGAGCAGATTGGAGCTACTTAGAGCAAGAGTGGTCCAAGATGGAGATGACAAGACTGTGGGCTCAGAAAACACTAAGCAAGCAAGGGAGGGACAAACTAGAACCTTCTATGTGGGCTAAAGACTTTGGAGAGGAAGGTAGTATCCACTGGAAGTGCTAGAGCAGAGGAATGCAACAACATCTGGACCTGGAATTAGTCTATTAGCTCAGAACAAGATTTCTGGCTTAGTGGGATGCCACAGAAAGAGACTAGTAGGGTGACTTGCAAAAGTACTCAAAGCCCAGTTAGAATGGGAGATTCCTATTCTCCAATTGGAGAGGAAGAAAAATGCTCAAGAGAACTAAAAAAATAACTCCAAGGGCATAGCCTGGCTACCTGGAATGGTGGGGTGGCTGGTGGAAACAGGGAAAGTGGATGATAGACAGTCACATATTGGCTTGAGACAAGTTGAGCTTGAAGCAACATCCAACCAGTGCTTACAGACCTTTGGAGCTGGAAAAGGTAAAGGGAGGACTGGAAAAGCTGGAAAAGGTGGAAAAGGGAGGTAAAGGGAGGACTGGAAAAGCTGGAAAAGGGAGGACCCAGGGCTACCACTGTAGAGAAAAGCACACCCCATGGAGCACCCTGGAGCAGCACTCCATAGTTGGCCTTTATGCTGGAACCACTTAAAATCTCCAGTTCTGATACAACTGTTAATGCTTTACATACTCAGTAAAATCAAGTCAACGAGGATGGGGAAAAACTCTAAAGTGGTCTACAGACATAAACAAAGGACTCTGACTCTTTCAAATTGATATCATGACCACACAGTTACCAATCAAAGCAACTTGACCACATTGTACCTTCAAAGACAGAACTACAAAACAAGACTACAAAAGTCTTGAACTTTACTTTAGAAGGTTTATTGTTGATGTAGTGGTTCTGAAACTTTTGTATTTATTGTAAGATTGAGTAAATGAGTAAAATATATTGAAGATAATGGGAGCCAGTTTTATTACTGTGAGAGAAGACAGACAGATATGGAATAGGGGAAGGCAAAGCAGAACCCATATGTTGGACTGGAATTAAAAGTTTCAGTATGAACTCATGATTTTAAAAATATATAATATATATACCTATTCCCCATATATATACATAAACATATTTGTATAAATATTTCCTAGCTTGCTGAAAATACCTAGAAGCAATGACACCCCAGTATCAGTGCAAACATCTAGTGCCAATTTTATCTTCTAAATGACATCTACTAAAAGAAACCAGGGCTCTTGGTGAATTCACTGATTCCAGGGCTGGGCAAGGAAAATATAAGAGGAGCCTGGTACATTATTCTGTGTCAAAAAATAAAGAAGTGTGGAAAAAATTATTGTGACATTTCAAAAGGATGGAGGAACCAGCCTGACGGAGCACCCACTGGTCAAATCAGGAAATCCTGAGCATCAAAATAAATAACACATTAAATTTTAAAAGAATTCACGAGTCTGTATTTTTCCTTGATGGACCGATAAATATATTCATTCACTAAAACAAACATTTATGAAACACCTACTACATACCAAGCATAGATTTCAATTATGAATAATAAAAGGATCCCAATCGCAAGAAACTTGGGGTAGAGTATGGATGAGACAACGAGAAAAATGTAACAAACTAGTGTAACGTGAAAACTTGATGGTGATGGCATAGTAAGAAAAATAAACTATTCAGGAAAAAAAAAAAAAATCCATGAGCCTAAACTGATACTAAAAAAATTAAAACGGGAAGAGGAAGCTCTTCCTTCCAGTAGAGTACCAACTAATAAATGGAGACATAATGACAGGGTTAGAAATCCAACATCTGTTTACAGTCAACACAGAACAGCTGATTGAGGCAAGAATCATCAATGGATACTAAAAGTACTGGATAAAAGTTTGTTGACAGACAAGCTTAAAGAATGCTCCCTAGATTAGTTATTAATTACAAAGAGAAAATGGCAACTTTTACAGCCACCACCTTAACCAAATGATCAGTTTCATCAATAATGGGAAAAATTATCATGTGCTTCCTAATGTGATACACAGAAAGAACCTCTTATGTATTAATCTTACCTGGATCTAAACATCCAGAAACAATCAGATAAATCCAAACCGAGAGACATTCTACAAAATAATTGGTGAACACTCTTCAAAAATGTCAATGTCATGAAAGACTAACAAGACAAGGAGCCTTGTTTCCTAGGAAATAAACATTGACATTTTGGGGGACAAAGGGTCATGGTTCTGCAACTTATGCTCAAATTGGGTTAATAAAAATAATAATTATAAATTTATGGAAGAGCTAAAGCAAACATAAAAAATGTTAAGAACTGGAGAATCTAGGTGAAGGGCATACAATACAAGTCTTACAACATTTCTGTAAGTTTGAAAATTTCCAAAATAGGTTTTTAAAATGCGAGAACAGGGGCCGTCCCCGTGGCTTAGTGGTTAAGTGCACGCGCTCCGCTGCTGGCGGCCCGGGGTTCGGATCCCGGGCACACACCCATGCACCGCTTCTCAGGCCATGCTGAGGCCGTGTCCCACATACAGCAACTAGAAGGATGTGCAGCTATGACATACAACTATCTACTGGGGCTTTGGGGGGAAAAAATAAATAAATAAAATCTTTAAAAAAAATAAATAAAATGTGAGAACATTTCTGGAAAGAACTTAATATAGGGTATTACACCTTACTGAGCATCTATTCTGCTAGACACACCCACACACAAAAAAGCAAACATCTCATTTAATCCTCAACAATTCCTGGAGGAATTAAAGATAGGGCATACTATTTAAAAGTAAAGAAACTGAAGCCTAAGCAGATAAGTACTTTGCCCTAAAAGCTTATTATCTCACCAATGGGAAAAAAATAATTCTGGGGGGGAAAAAAGAAAAGGTGTCAAATAAGGGTCAGCTCTAGGTGACAATACTATACTGTTTTCTTTGTAGTTTTCTTGATTTTTCAGATTTCTATCATAAAAAATGAAATTTATGCTCAAAAAATACCAGTTAAGATTTTTAATAAAGCAAATAATTTTACAGTAAGGGACAAATGAAATCTTTCTGGAATTTAATAAACTTAGCCACTGCAAGTTATTACTAGTATTTGGATTCCCAGGTTTCATGATTGCAAATGGCAGGGATCAGTGTGAATGGCCAGGCAGTAATTAGCTCTTTGTTTCTTTTCATTTGATTCATTTACAATGGAATATTTGCATGTTTCCTCCAAGGACGCTGCACCTTCTTGCTGGCTAAGACATCCAAGTCACAGCAGATTCGGGCACGTGTAGAGGAAGGCTGGATGATGTCATCCACAAACCCTGGTGAAGCACAGAAAAGGAAGTAGATCATCTGCATCCTCAATGATGCCACTCCCCCAATCTTGTGCTTGTGTGCCTGGGCACCATCTCTGGGCCAACAGTGTGAGCAGGGCCCCACTTGATAAAAGAAGGGCTGGGCCCTGTGAACCCTCTTCTGCATCCCTTGCTCCTCTGGCAGGCCCTCAATTTCTGTCCTTGGAGCACTTGGCAAGAAAAGGAAAATTTGACCCCTCTCTGCCAAGATGAATTCGATGGGAAATAAAATTAAGAAAATACACTTGTATTTTCAAAAATGGCTAAAATTCCTCAAATCCTTATATACAAGTCCTTCTGCAATGTGACTTTTCCAGTCCTCCCATCAAGAAGTGGGTTCTATTCCTTCACCTGGCCAACAGAATGTGGCAAAAGGAACACTATGTAACTTCCAAATCTAGGCCTCAAGGTGCCTGGCGCTTCCCCTCTCACCCTCCCGCTCCCTCAGGATGCCACATCAAGAAGCGTGGACTAGCCTCTTTAAGAACAGGAAACCAAGTGGAGAGCGAGTCCAGCTGACAGCCAGCACCAACCACGTAAGTGAGGCCATCTTGGACTATCCAGCCCCACTCAAGCCACCAGATGACTACAGTTGCATGACTGATCCCAGGGAAGACCAGCTGAGCCTAGATCAAATCACTGACTCGCAGAACCATGATCAAAAAAAAAAAAAAAAGGTTGCTTTAAGCCACTGTTTTGGGGGTAGATTTTTAAACAGTACTAGGTAACTGGAACCACACTAAGAAATTTAGTCATTTCAGCAATGTTGTTTTGATCCTGGTTACCAAAGCAGCCTATTCCAGGCCCCATTGCCCTTAAGTGATGACTGCCCAGGGACAACCCAACCCTCACCAGTCTCCAGATTCAACTGTAAGGGCAAAAGGCAGCTATGTGAGACTTTTTGGAGTAAAAGAATGACCAAGTGCCCCCCAAAACAAAGCTGCCATCCCCACCACAGTCCCTACCTCTCACTGCTGCAGGAAAAGGGTTGGCAAACTTCTCAATATACTCTGCTTGCGCAGCTTCCACATTCTCGTGCCCTTTGAAGATGATCTCCACAGCACCCTGTCATGAGAGGAGTTAATGAACTTCGCTGGAGGTCCCAACTTGGGCAGACCTCCCTTAACTCCCTATCACTGTCTGTGGTTGTGAACTTTTGGTAAATCAAAGTGTACTGGAGAGAAGTGCCAGCTCCAGGTGCCAGGGCATAGAGGCAGGCACTGCCTGGAGTCAACCATCATGATTCCAGGGGCTGTGTGATGGCACACTCAGCTGTGGCCCCAATGACAGGCAGCCCAGGCAAAGTCAGCAGCTTGTCTCCCCAGATTCCAACCTACCCTCTCCAATTGCACTTATTCTTCTTTGAGGCCAAGATTTTTGGCCAATTTTCCACTATTAGATCCATGGTCCCCTGCATCAGGGGGAAGTAAAATGCTGTTTTCCTTTTTCATTATCCTGAGCCCTGAGTACACAATTCAGTGGCCAGAGAAGAACAGACTGAACTGCAAATGTAGAAGTATGAGGAACTGAAAGATGGGCCTTCACATCATAACCCCTAAACGTCAGCTCAGGGGGACCCCACGAGTTATCTGGTTTAATTCCAACAGCTATTTCAAAGCAGGAAAGAAGTGGGGAATAGGCTGAGCAGCAGGAAAGTACCTTACCCGGAGTCACTAGGGTCAGAACTACAGTTCAGCTTCTACGGGCTGAAAGGAGTAGCTCTGGGACCCTCCCTGGGAGATGAGATGTGGTTGGGGGGATGTCCAATCCTCCCAAAAGCTAGTTCAGCTGACGCAACCTTTTCCCCTTTATAACAATCTCAAAACCCACTCTGGGCCCCTCCCACGCTGAGCATGACGACACTAGCATGTGCCTGAAGTGAGAGTACAAGACAGGAGGCAGAGCTGGCCCTGGGGCCCCAGGAAGGAGACTTGCCAAGGTCTAGGCCTTAATGCTCTGGAGTCCTGACCCCGCTCCAACATTTCCCAGTTGTGCTCTGAGCTCCTGCTGGGAGAGTACTAGACCCAGGAAAAAGGAAAGCTAGAGGTCCTCACCTTTGCTCCCATGACTGCAATCTCTGCTGTGGGCCAGGCATAGTTGGTGTCACCACAAAGGTGCTTGGAGCTCATGACATCATAGGCACCACCATAGGCCTAGAACAGACCCAAATGCTGAATGTTACAGCCTGAGGCAACCAGATCATGTCCTGATGATCTGTCCTTTCCTCCTGAAAGACCCCAGGAAGCCAAATGAAATGAGGATGAAAAGCGAGAATAGCCCTCTTGGACTACTGAAGGCCCAACGTCTGTGAAGCCAGGGAGCCAGAGCAGAGAACACATGGGCGCAGCCCAGAGGCCTTTCACAGTTAATGTTCATTGTTTTTCCCAGCTGCTTCCAGTTCCCGAGACAACACGGACATCTCTGCAGGGTGTGTCTGCAGAGCTGTAAATGCTGTCCTCACGAGACCTTTTTTAGACCTCCAACAATGGCCATGCTGCTGGGAGTGAGTGGGCTCGCAGCTTCCAATGTGAGTTCCTCACCTTCCTGGTGATGACTGTGACTTTGGGCACGGTTGCCTCAGCAAATGCGTAGAGAAGCTTGGCGCCATGCCGGATGATGCCCCCGTATTCCTGTGCTGTGCCTAGGTCATGAGGAAGAGTTACCAGATACCCACAAAAGTCCTCAAAAGGCTTGCCTGCCACTCTCAGCTGTGCAGACTTCCCCTGCTCCCCAAAGGGTCAGGAGAGGGCCACCCCTTACACAGCCCCATCTTCTAGATACCCAAAATATGGAGAAGTCACTTAGGGAAATTTTGCAAGAAGATCTCCAAATAAAGTGGGTGCCTCACTGGGCAAAACCACCTCTCCTGGCCCCCACCTCTGTCAGTGACTTACCAGGCAGAAAGCCAGGGACATCAACAAAAGTGATGAGTGGAATATTGAACGCATCACAGAATCGGACAAAACGAGCTCCTTTCACAGATGAATTAATATCCAAGCATCCTATAAAGAGAGATTATCCATGCTGAGCTTATGAGCAATTCCTAGTTCCACCCACAATGGAAATGTGCCCTCAGCAACCATCCAGAGCTGGTTTCTATGGAGGTACCAAGTCTCCTCATCAGACAATGGTAAAGAAGAACCCTCACACTCCAGGAAAATCAGGGAAGTCAGGAGAACCCACCTGGCACTGGCCAAAGAGGGCCCAGGAGTGGCCTCAGCCTCAAGGACTCTCTTGCTGGGAGCATAGCCCGTAGGGGTGGCCAGGCTCTGCCTTGTAAACTGAAGGACTGCTGCCATCTGAGGCACAGCCTGGCTGACCCTGGTGGAACCAGCAGTGGGAGGTATCATTCAGAGGTTAGTCTTAGCAAGTCCCCGTAGCTTAGAATCAGATTCTAGCTCCACCAATTATAGCTATGTGTCCCTGCGTAATTACTTTACCTTTCTGAGTCTGAGGGTCCTCACCTACGAAGTAAGGATGTTATTACCTCCTACCATAGTTGTAAGGATTAAAAGAGATGGTATTGTAAAGTGGCACAGAGTAAAGAGTTCAATTACTAGTAAATCTCTCTTCCTAAAACCGTTCCCAACATATTCTTTGAGGCCAGCATTAGCCTGATACCAAAATGAAATAAGGACATTATAAGAGAAGAATGCAGACCAAAATCCTTCATAAACATAGATGCAAAAATTCTTAAGATATTATCAAATCAAATCCAGCAATATATAAAAACACTAAAGCATCATGACCAAGTGGGATTAATCCCAAGAATTCAATGTTGATTTAATATGTGAAAACCAATGGAATTATTAAATAAAGGAGAAAAATCATATGGTCATCTCAATAGATAGAGAAAAAAACATCTGAAAAAATTCAATATGCATTCTTAATTAAAAACTAGTAGTAAACTTGTAATATAATGGAACTTCTACTAGCTGATAAAGATTATCTACAAAAAAACTTATATACTCATGGATCAGAAGAATAAATCAATCTCCAAAATGATCTATATCAGTGCTGTCCAAAAGAACTTTCTATGATGAGGGAAATGTTCTCTGGCTGTGCTATTCGATGGCAGCCACTAGCCACATGTGGCTATTGAGCACTTGAAACATGGCTAGTAAACCGAGAAACTAAGTTTCTAATTGTATTTAACTGTATTTATTTATACTATTTTAGTTATTTTAGATTTAAAGTTTAATAGCTATACATACTCGACAGATCTATATTTTCAAGTAATTCCTATCAAAATCATAGGAGGTTCTTTTGTAGAAATTGATAAGCAGATTCTAAAATTCATACAGTAATACAAAGGAGAAAGAATAGTCAAAACAGTATTAAAAAAAAAAGAACAAAATTGGAAGACTTATACTAGCTGACTTTAAGACTTACAAAGCAGGGTTTCGCAACCCTGGCACTATCTACATTTTGGACTGGACAATTCTTTGTTGTGGGGGTTTGTCTTGTGCATATAGGATGTTTAATGGCATCCCTGGCCCCTACCCACTAGATGCCAGTAGCACACCCCCACCAACCCCACCTGTGACAACCAAAAATGTTTCCACCACTGCCAAATGTCCCCAGGATACCAAAATTGCCCCAGGTTGAGAACCACTGAGAACTACAAAGCTACAGTAATCACGACAGTATGGCATAAGCATAGAGGTAGACAAAAGCAACAATGAAACAGGATAGATTGTGAAAAAATAGACTCAGACAACTAACTTTAGACCAGGCACCAAAACAATTCAATGTGGAAAAGAAGTCTTTTTAACAAATGGTGATGGAACAATTAAATATCTGTATGGAAAAAATGAATGTAGACTCCTGTTTCACTCTATAAACTGTACACAAAAATTAATTCAAAATGGATCATATATCTTAAAACTCAGACTACAGAGCTCCTAGAAAATAATACAGGACTATCTTTGCAATCTGTAGGAAGCAAAGATTTCTTGGACAGGACACAAAAAATTCTAATCACAAGTAAAAACATCAATAAATGGGACTATCAAAATTTTTAAATAATATGACTCAAAAGACACCATTAATTAACTGAATAGGCAAGACACAGACCAGGAAAAAAATATTTGCAATATGTATATCTGACAAAGGACTCATCCAAAATATATAAAGAACTCTAGAAATCAACAATGAAAAGATAAACAACTCAAAAAAAAAAAAAATAGGCGAAACTTCCCTCTTGCCAAATGCATTTTGCAGATGACAGAAATGTTCCACATCTTGTATTGGACGGTGATTACAAGGTTGTATACAACTGTCAAATTGTCAAAACCCATCAAAACGGGAACTTAAAAGCTGTACATTTTATTGTGTGTAAATTATAACTCAATAAAAAAAATTCTTTTAAATCTCCCCTCCTCCCTCTCTATTCAAAGTATATGTTAATGACCTGAAATAAAGAATCTGAATGATGAGTCCCAAGATGAAGACAATTCTAAATTAAGAAACTGCAAAAAGTACAAAAAGGCTAGGATAAAAACCAAACTGAAAAAAAGATGAGCTGTGACAACCAAAACAAAATGCAACCGTTAGGGAAATTAACACAGTCAGAAATGGAAAACCTGTGGCCCTGAGCTGCCATGGAGTGGGCCCCAGGTCGAGGGGCTTGGCCTTATCAGGCTTTCCCAGGCCTGTCAGAGTGCCTGGCATCCAGAGTGCCCAATGAGCCCTGGCTAATTCCTACAAAGAAAAAATGAGAACCAGAATGGAGGCCTCCTCTGTGAGTCTCTGAGGCTGCCTTTTAGTAACAGAGAGGCAATGAACAAGTCAATGAAATGAATGAGGCTTTCTTCAAAAAAGCAGTGATGTACTGAACTTCCATACCTTGCCACTCCATAAACATCAAAAAGAATTACTGAGTCAAGAAAGAGGTAAGTCAAGGAACCACAACGGAACCAAGTATTCAGACTCCAGCCAGAGCTGGGGTGTACCCCTGGGGTAGACATCCTAGCATTTGTAGATAAAGTTCCCAGGACAAGCCAGCAGTTTCTTAAAAAGCAGGCTTGTGAAAGTCAATTTCTGCTACAGGGCACCAGAACCTGCAGATACAGTCACGGGACAAGAAAGATCTTTCAGCAGACAGGAAATCATGTCAAGCACACACTAGGAGGAAGAACTGAAGGGATAAGTCAACAGGTGAGAACCTACTATAGGAACAAAATGCATTTTCAGTATGTGTCAATTCCTAAACACTTTTTCTAAAAAAAAAAATAGTGGAGTAGGCAGCTCCAAGCTCCTGTCCTCCAAAAGAAACATCAAAAAATAAGCAGAGACTGTCAGAACCAATTTTGTCAAAACTCTGGAACAGGCAAAGGTTTTTTAAATGAAAAATGAAAGCTGAATCAAGAAAAAGGCAACTTAAAAACACTGGAAAATCTTTGTGGCATTTTTAATTACACCTGCTCCACACTCTCGCTGGTTCTACAGGCAGCAAAGACAACCTCAGTCACAAATGTTCATGTAGGTCTGTTCTAACTTGTCTGGGGCTGCCTGAAATACTCAGAGCTTTCATCTCTGTTTCATCTAACTCGGAACTCACCCAGGCCAGAAACGTGGCAGGTATTGCTCAAAAACACTGTAAGGCAAAGGAACAACCTGCAGACATCTGGGGCAAAAGATTATAGTTGAAACCACCTAAGGCCCAGGGGGAAGAAAGCCAGGGAGAGAGTTTCTTTGGGAAATTAGGGCATTCAAGAGCACCTATGTATACAGGGGATTGTAGGAAAAAACAGGTATGCCTAGGTGCATACTCAGAAAAGACCTGAGAAGGGGAAATTAGAAAATACCTTGAGATGAATAAAAATGAAAACACAACATTACAAAACAAACTGTGAGAAGACCTTAAGCTTTAACCTCGGGCTGATCCCTAAACTCAGTTTAAGTTAGGCTAAATGTTGAAGGAGAGCCCCAGCACAGAGCCAATTCACAAATACTAGGAGAGATATTTTTTTGTCTGTCTGTTTTAACACCTGGTGTTCAAGTAAATCTGTCAAAACACTAGCTGGACACAAGCTAAGGAACAAACACTTCAGTGACCACACAACAAGGAACACAGTCTCTGCAAAATAGTTGGGAAAAGTCACTAGACAAATGGACTACTATAGCCTTCAACAATCAAAAAAACAACAAACCCTGGAAAAGGGGGAGAACATGATTTCCAGAGTTATCACATAATATTCAAATGTCCAGTTTTCAACAAAAAATGACAAGGCATACAAAGAAACTGGGAAGTATAGCCATTCAAATGAACAAAATAAATTGACAGAATCTGTCCCTGAGGAAGCCCAGACATGGAACTTATTAGACAAGGACTTTAAAACAACTGTCATAAATATGCTCAAAGAGGTAAAGGAAAACATGAACAAAGAACTAAATAATCAGGAAAACAATGTCTGAACAAAATGACACTATCTATAAAGAGACAGAAATTATAAAAAGGAACCTAACAAAAATTCTGGGGCTGAAAAGTACAATAACTAAAATGAAAAATTCACTACAAGGGCTCAACAGCAGATTTGAGGAGACAGAAGAAAGAATCAGGAAACTTGAAGATAAGACTCTTTAAATTATCCAGTCTGAGGAGCAGAAAGAAAAGAAAATATGAAGTGAATAGAGACTAAAGGACCTATGGAATACAGTCAAGTGAACCAATATATACAGCACAGCAGTACCAGAAGGAGAAAAGAGGCAGGAAAGGGCAGAGAGATATGAAGAAACAATATCCAAAAACTTCCCAAGTTTGATGTAAGACATAAAGCCACAAATCCAAGAAACTCTAACTCCAAGTCGAATAAACTCAAACAGACACACACTGAGACCATTACAGTCAAACTGTCAAAAAACAAAAACAGAATCTTGAAAGTAGCAGGACAGAAGTGACTTATCACATACAAGGGATCCTCAATAAGATTATCAATTGATTTCTCAGCAGAAACTATGAAGGCCAGAAGATAACGGGATAACATATTTAAAGTGCTGA